TGGGGACACTCCGTGGAATGAATGGGGTAGAGGAACAGAAAAATCAACATTCGGAAGACAAGGAGAGGTAAAGATAGGGACTAAGAACAAAGGGGGAGATGGTGGCAAGAAACAACTGGATGCACCAAAGGCATTAGCAGACTAGTGGATGGAAGGACAGAAAGATGGAAAACAAAACCAGGAAAATAAAGTTCAGAATATATTCCTCCCTGAATATCGGGGACTTACTGCCTCACTTCCTTCAGGGATCTGTACAACATCTTTAAAGAAGCCGCCCAGATCTTCTGTCCAGAGCAGCCCCATCCTTTCCTATGCCTTCAGTTGGCTAGCTACTTTTAGAGACAGGGTCTCGCTCTTGCTCAGGCGGTCTTGAGCTCCTGAGCTCAGGCAATCCAGCCACCTTGGCCTCCCTGAGTGCTAGGATTACAGGTATGAGCCACCGCACCCGGCCTTGAAAACAATTTCTACTAATAGATTCTCTGTTCTTTATTTCACAAACAAGACAACAAGGTCCAGAGTGTTAATTGGCTTTCTTGAGTACCTCCTCTCCCCACTAACAAATGGGAGCTGGGATTTAAACTAGGCCAGGTAGCCCCAGAAGAGCTGGACCTTGATGCACCTCCCTGCCACAGTCATGCCATAGCCATGCCATAGGGCATCTCTGTCTGAGAGCTAGGACAAGAAGCCCCGGGAACATGTGCTGCTGGTGACTCAAATTTCTGCCACTCTGCTAATGCCCATGAATAACCAGGAAAGCACCACCAGTACCAGTTCTGGGGTTACTCATACGTTTTTAGCAAATAGGCCAATTTGCAAAATGGAGTCCACAAATAAAGACGATGGAAGGGATTTGTCTTTTCTTGTCTATTTCCTTACTTCTGAACATGAATCCCATTCCAGAAAGGTAGAGGCCAGGAATATTTTCTCTATTTTGTTCACTGCTAAGCCCTCACTCCCTACAAAGGAATGTGGGACATATTATAGCAGGTGCTAAGACGCATCTGTTGAGTGGACAGAGGATGCAGAGAGAAAGGCTACACTAGCATCTATCTACTGTTTCTTTAAATCCTGACAACAATATAAGGAGGAAAGTGCAGCCCAGACAGGGGAGCTCCGCTAACACCAGAGGCTACTTTCTGCTATGGCCTTGCAGTGTGACCTCAGTCCAATCAACTCACTCTCTGAGCCTCAGTTTACCAACATGAGGCATTCTTATGTTGCATTCTTATATATGCCTTATTAAGGCATTCTTTTTTGTTGTTGGTTTTTTTTGTTTTGTTTTGTTTTGTTTTAAGACAGGAGCCTCAAGCTGTCCCCCTGGGTAGAGTGCCGTGGCATCTCAGCTCACAGCAACCTCTAACTCCTGGGCTCAAGCAAGTCTTCTGCCTCTACCTCCCAAGTAGCTGGGACCACAGGCGCCCGCCACAACACCTGGCTATTTTTTGGTTGCAGCTGTCATTGTTGTTTGGCGGGCCCGGGCTGGATTCGAACTCGCCACCTTGGGTGTACATGGCTGGCGCCTTAGCCACTTGAGCCATAGGCGCTGAGCCTTTTGTTTTGTTTTTTGAGACAGAGTCTCACCATGTCTTCCTAGGTAGAGTGCATGGCATCACAGCTCACAGCAACCTCCAGCTCCTGGGCTTAGGTGATTATCCTGCCTCAGCCTTCTGAGTAGCTGGGACTACAGGCACCTGCCACAATGCCAGGCTATTATTTTGTTGTGGTTTGGCCAGTGCCAAGTTCGAACCTACCACTCCCGGTATATGGAGCTGGCACCCTACCTACTGAGCCACAGGCGCTGCTCAACCTGGCTATTTTTTGATTGTTGTTTGGCAGGCCCAGGCTGGATTCGAAACTGCCAGCTTTGGTGTATGTGGCTGGCACCCTAGCCACTGAGCACAGGCACCGAGCCTATATATATAGAGAGAGAGAGAGATTTTTTTTTGCAGTTTTTGGCCAAGGCCAGGTTTGAACCTGCCACCTCTAGTATATGGGACCGATGCCCTACTCCTTTGAGCCATAGGCGCCACCCAGCACCAAGCCAATATTAAGGCATTCTTAATGACCACAAAAGGTGGTCAGTAAGCTGATGGCAATTTCCCTGAGAAGCCATCATACCAAGTCCTACAATCAGGCCCAGTGAGTCCATCATTGGCAAAGAGAAGGGCCATCAGCCTTGCTTCATAAATACACATACTAAGCCTGCCATACAGAGGTCGTGTCCCCTAGATGGTGATCACCATTCCCATTTGAGAGACATAGGAGGCATGGACAGGTGAAGACACAGGCCTGGGACACATAGAAAGGATGAAACAGTGCCAGGATTTACGCCCAGGCCTGGTGGCTTCCATAGGTATATTGTCCTATGGAAGAGAAATGTGGCAGAATAGGGGATTCAGGGGTGGAGAAGGGAAATTGGGGTACAGGAGAAACAGGTGGGGCCAGGAGGTAGGTTGACACCAATGGGGAGTGGCCCTGAGGCCTCACAACTCACGGTAGCCCGCATTGTTGACCACACAGTCTAGTCGGCCAAAGTGGCATATGGTCTCAGAAATCAGGGTCTGAGGAGGAAGGAAAGGTGGGAATGAGCAGTGGTGCAGTGCCAACCCTTGCAGGAGCCAGGGCTCCCAAAAGCAAGGCAGGGAGTGTGCAAGGCACTCAGAGCTGAAGGGACAGGAGCTGGAAGAAGCAGGGGGACACCCCAGGAGGATCAGGCACAACAGGAGAGGAGTAGACAAGAAGGCAGAGGTGCCAGAGAGCAGAGAGCTGGTGAGTGCCACACTGCAGTTGTAATTCCAGGGAGTGGGGTGAGCAGGGATCCATAGACAGGGGCAGAAACCCATGGGGCAGGTAACAGATATTGACTAAATAGAAGGGACAGAAACCCAGGAACAGAGAGATAAAATGTCACAGGAGGAACCCTTTGAGGGATTTATTCATTTCCATCCACCTGACAGGTGTGATAAGAGCCTTGAACATGTAGGTGATAAAGGAGAACAAACCCAGGAGACATGACCTGGTCATCAGAATCAAGGAAAGCCGTGTGTGTGTGTGTGTGTGTGTGTGTGTGTGTGTGTGTGTAGCTGGATGACACTGGGCTGAAACCTTTATGGCAGGTATAGCTTAACCAGGAGAAGAAGGAAGGTAAAGGGAACAGTATGTGCGAATACCCAGAGGAGAATGGCAGGGAGGAAGAGAAGGGTAATTACTGGAGATGGGGAGTAGAGGCAGAAAATTCTCTCACCCTCACATCTTCTTCCTGGGTCACATCACAGAGGATAAAGACAGTTCCAGGAAGCTCCTGCTCCAGGGCCCGGCCCCCAGACTCTGCCAGGAAAAAAGAGCTGGGGCCTGGATTGCTGGATCTGGGGGAGGATGGGCTGGGGGCCTGGACCCCTGAGTCTGAAGGTCGAAGCTGGAGTAAGGACTGAAGGACCCTTACTCACCATCTTTGTCGCAGATTACCACTTGGGCGCCGCTGTCCACTGAGAACAGGGAGAGAACAGGTTACCACGCCACCTAGACCTCGGTGAAGGCCTCTGCTGCCCCCTTGTGGCCACCTGGAGTGGGGCTTCTCCCCCTCGTGACCATCAAGTCTCATGATGGATCCCCTGGGACAAAGGGCAGAAGCCTTGACACAAATTCTCTTTGGCTACTCCAGGTAGCCAAACCACCTGTTTTGCAGTTTCAGTAAGAAACCTAGAGAAAGGGAGTAAACTCCTCCTGGAGACCTTGCCAGGCCTTAGGCTATTACTGCATATCCTCCCTCCCTCACCTTAGCATTGCAAAAATTGGATTTTAGAGATAAAAATCCAGCCTCCTGTACCTGAGTCCGCACCCATTAGCTCCTACCCCCAACCTTCCTCTCTTAAACTCCAAAATTCTGAGCAGCCAGACCCCTACTCACCGAAGGCACGCACAATCCCAGCTCCAATGCCGCGTCCACCCCCGGTCACAATCACCACCTTCCCCGAATAGCGCATTCCCGTAGCCATTTAGAGTCCCTGTCACTCACTCTGGGCCCCTTTCCACCTCCAAAGTCAGGTGAGGCCGTAGGATCAAACCATAAATAAGGGCTGGATCCTGGAAGCCCGGCCCTGGGGGGCGTTGCCAGAAAAGCCAGGGACCTGAAGTTTGCCCAGAGCTCTTTCTCCCTCAGATCCAGGGATCCAGGCCCCCACCCCCTCCTCTCTCAGACACAGGGGTCAGGCCCCCAACCCGTCCTCCCTTAGACCCAACTGTCCAGGTCCAACCCCTTTGCCCTCAGACCCAGAATCCTGGCCTCAAGCCACCTCCTCTTCAAGACATACAAATTGGGCTCGGCGCCTATAGCTCAACCGGCTAAGACGCCAGCCACGTACATCTAAGGTGGCGGGTTCGAATCCCCAGCCTGGACCCGCCAAACAACAATGAC